TTCTCTGGGAGGAAGGGGCAGGCCGCACGCATCTTGCTTTGACCCACTCCTGACCCGAGTGGGCAGAAGCAGAGTTTCTCGCCTGGTTTCTTTTCCTCCAGCTGCCAGAAGAGAGAAAGAGTGTCATCTCACGTTTCAGAAGTGTTCATTAAGGCCTGGCAGGTAGCCTGCGGGAGGTGGGTGTTTGAGAAAGGCTCCTGGGCGTGAGCCTGTATCATTGCCTGTAGCAGAACTTTCCTCTCTTACTCAGCTCAGCTTGCTGGGTGCAGGAACCCAGTGTTTCCTACCCTGGGCAAGTTTCAAGTGCAGCTTCTCCGTCTTTCTAGATGCCTTGCTCGAGTATAGAAATTCTCTATTCACAAGAGCAAGACTTCTACTTCTGAACTAAAACACCCACCAGGCAGCCGTGGTGTTTCCCTGTGGGGTGCAGGCCCTGGGGCTCAGAGGGACCAGGGCGTGGCTTCTTGCCCTGGAACCTGGGAAGGAAAGCCCTAGCAATGAGCACCATGAAGCTGTGATCACTCCGAGGCCAGGCTCCCGGACACTGTGCCCCTGGAACCTGCCAAGTTGTCCCTGCCAAGCTGAGGGTCCTCGGGAAATAGAGGAACCTTACCCTTGAGCATGTGTCTGGTGCCCATTCTGAGGGACTGCTTTGTTCCTTGCTCTTCTTTATCTTCTTTCTTAGTCCCCACCTCTGCTTCCCGGTAGACGCTGTACCCAACACGGCACACATCCTGTTGCCGCCTCCCTTTCCACGCAGCCTGTTGTGTCAATGTCATAGAATGCTGAATGGGACTCTTGTTACTTTGGAATTGATGACTGGGGCCCAAATCTGAGGAAATGAGATTCTAAGAGAGTTATCAACAGTTGGGACCAGACCTCTTCCCTGGGGCATAAAAAGATAGCCCAGAACTGGCCCAACTATCGCCTACTCTCACCCCAGCTGTTCCCCTTCCCCACCCCTGGATGATAGAAATGACTGGGCAGAGGTGCAAAGGGGGCGTCTGTGAGCCACGGCCTTGGTGGGAGGGCATGTCTGAGATGGGAGGGGGTTCCTACCCTCTCATAGAGGAGGGAGCTGGATATGAGGTCCCTGAGTGTGGGGGAGAAGCTGATATTCTGGCCCCTACTGGATGTCTGCTCATGCTACATCTAGACCCATGGCTCTGCCCTCAGCCTCTCTGAGCAGGAGCTAAGGGAACAAAGAGAGCTGGCAGGGCAGGGCGAGAGCGGGCTTGTGGAGTAACCAGCCAGTCTTTATATTGTGATTTATAATAAGAAATAGATATTTGGTTTTCATCCCTGTTCCTGGCACAGAGCTCCTAAAACCCTTGGAATTTCCTAAGTGATAAGAGTGATAAATATATCCTGATATTCATAACAAACCTCTTTCAACCACAGCTGGGTTTATGTTAATGAGGTGGCTTTTGGAAAGCACCTAAAGATGGGGGCTGGTTGCCAGGGGAACCAAGCATGTGATTAGAGGGTTGGAACTCTCAGGGGAGGGGAGAGGGGCTGGAGGTTGAGTCAATCCCCAATGGCCAATGACTTAATCAATCATGCCTATGTAATGAAGCCTTCATAAAAACCAGAAAGGAGAGGATTTGGAGAGCTTCTGAATTGGTGAACACGTAGAGAGTTGGGGAGAGTGGCTGGAGATGGCATGGAATCTCCACGCCCCTTCCCCATATGCATCTCTTCCATCTGGCTGTTCCTAAATTATATCCTTTTATAATAAACCAGTAATCTAGTGAGTAAACTGACTTCTTGAGTTCTGTTAGCCGCTCTAGCAAATTAATCCAAACCCATGGAGGGCATCATGGGGACCTCTGATAGATAGCCTGTGGGTCAGAAGCACAGGTGACAACCTGGACTTGCAGTTGGCATCTGAAGTGGGGGGCAGTCTTGTAGGACTGAGCCCTTAATTGGGGGTTCTGACACTATCTCCAGGTACATAGTGTCAGAATTGTAGGATATCCAGCTGGTGTTGGAGAATTGCTTGGTGTGGGAAAAAACCCCATACACCAGAATTGGTGTCAGAATTGTACCAGTCATGTGCCAAGTAGTCACTATGCAAGGGAGCTGGTTTGAGTTGTCTAGCCAATACTTTCCTAAAAGGTCAACTCTGGGGCAGTAGCAAAAGGCTGAGGGCGTCCCGTGAGCTGTGAGGCTGGAGGATGTGGTGGAGAAAGGAGAGGTAGGAAGAACGGGGCACCCGAGCTGGTGCTCCTGTGTTGATGCCTGGAGGCAGTGGGTCAGTGCAGGGAGCCCGGGAAATACCCCTGCCATCTCTGTATTACCTATTTGGCATTTCTTTCTAGGGTTCTCTGTCTCATCCTCTTTCCCTTTTTCTGTGCTTTTGTTTCTTCTTCCTTCTTTCCCTCTCTCTAAGAACGTCAGAGTTGCAACCTCAGGGTCAAACCAGGCTCTTCCTCCAGCCTCTGAGGAGCAGGCTCTGGGGACACTTAGATATGGTCTTTTAGCACTTGTTAAAAAAGGTAGGCACACTCCCATAGACATCCCCAAATAAGCTGTCATGGCTCGGTCACCATTTCCAACCATTTATACCTTCATTCTGAGGGTACAGAGTCCCCTAAAGTTTCACCCTTGTTCATCTGTGAAGCACCTTTAAGGCTGACTTAGTCCAGTGAGATCCAGGGAGAGAAAGGCTTTTCATACACCATTAGGTAAAAAAACAAATCAACAAAACAGGCTTCAGAGTGGAAACACAAGGCTGGAATGAAAGAGGAATAAAGTTTCTAAAACTACAATGAGAGTTTATGGGGAAAGGCAGATGTCTTCACAATTAAGCAAAGTCCAGGGTATTAGAAATTGAAACCTGTAAGATTGAAATTTAAGAGACAAAAGGGAAGTAAGCTGTGGTTCGGGGCAAAGTACGGATTTTACTGGAGCAGGGGGTTCAAATCTCGACTGTGGGACTTAGGGCAGTGGTGGCTCTCCTCCCAGCCTCTCTTTCCTCGGCTATAAATGAAGCCCTCTCCTGCTGCCTCCCAGAGGTGTTGTGAGGATCAAAGGAGGGGATTGATGTGGAAGCTGTAAGCATTCTCTAAATTATTACTCTATGTTGCTGATTGTTGCTATTGTTATTACTGTTTCTAATGGCCTATAACAAGCCAGGGTAGGAAGCTGAACACAAGCAGAGACAGGAAGTTGCGCCATGTCCTGACTTTGAGATTAGGTTCCTAGAAAACAATCCTACATTCACCGAACGGTCCCTTGGTGCCATTTGTTCAAGGACAAGCATAGGTTGGCAGGGTCTTTGCTCTGAGTCACCATGACTGGTCTCACATTTATTGACTTTCAGGAGATTCATCATCTGTGGTTTGTGGAAGACAGATGAACAGAAATATACCCAGATAAAAGGAGTTAGGGACTGATGGGGGACACCATGGAGTCCCCTGGCCATCTGTCCCGGGTGGCTTCATTGACGTCCCTGATGATTTCTCGAGGCCCTTTCTTGATCTGAGTGTATGATGCCAGGGGAGAAGAGGAGCAGGGATCCTCCTTTTGTTTTGACCAAGTCTGGCTGGCCTCTGCCTTTGGTCCTGGATCATGGGCGCTTCCATTGTTCTCAGCCATTCAGGAGCCATGCCCCTGTGACTCTGACCTTGGATTTTTTTCCTGTACTCTTGAGTTTTCTGCCTTCTCGCTGTGTTTGTAGATCACATACACACACCAGTTAGACTCTTCCCACCCAGCTGATGTTCATTAATCACTGCTGTGGTAGTTTGAAGATATTGGAAGACTCTACTGATGTCTGAATTCAGAGTAATTACTAAACCTATGCAAGACCAGTTCATAGCATGAGCTGCTACTGGTTTTTTTTTTATGTGTGTGTGAGGAAGATCAGCCCTGAGCTAACATTCATGCCAATCCTCCTCTTTTTGCTGAGGAAGACCGGCCCTGAGCTAACATCCATTGCTAGTCCTCCTCCCTTTTTTCCCCTTTTGCTCCCCAAAGCCCCAGTAGATAGCTGTATGCCATAGTTGCACATCCTTCTAGTTTCTGTATCTGGGACGCCACCTCAGCATGGCTGGAGAAGCGGTGCGTCGGTGCGCGCCCGGGATCCGAACCCGGGCCGCCAGGAGCGGAACGCGTGCACTTAACCGCTAAGCCATGGGGCCGGCCCCGAGCTGCTACTGGTTTTGTTTAAGATCATTTTAGGATTTCCACAAGGTTTAGTCTTTTTAGTAAAGAGTTTCCATTTGAGTGTTCTGTAAGTGCCTTTGTTATTTTTGAATCAGAAAAATGAGGAAGGCATCTGTTTAACCACTTACTATCCTCTGATTCTAGACAACTGCCAAATGATGCCTTAAGAATCCTCTCTATGTGGTGGAAGGGGCTTAGAGATCACTGTATCAACCAGTGTTCAGTCAGGAAAACAGAAACCACCTTAGGCATTTTAAACAGAGAGAATTTAATACGCAGAATTCATTACAGAAGTGTTAGAAGAGCCAAAGGAGGAAAAAGCACAAAGTAAAGTTACCCCAAGATTAGTAACTGCTGGAAGCTGCTGTCCCCGCTAGGACTGGAGGACTGAAAGGGAAAATGGTGTTACCCAGAGCCCATGACCCTGGCCTGAGCTGGAACCCAGAATCCTACGCTCACCCAGAAGTGACATATAGCTCTTCTACCTACATTCCAGTGGCCAGAACTCAGTCCCATGGCTACACCTACCTGTGGAGATGCTGGGAAACGTAGACCACTGAGTGGCCAGAGGCAAGGGAACTGTGTTGGCTGAGCAGCTAGTCTCTGCTGTGTTCCTCTGGTACAGGAGTCACTACTGCTAGGAGAGAGCAGCCACCTTTTGCAGACTCAGTCTTCAGGACTGTGTGTGTACACACATGCCCGCCCTGCCACAATAGGATAGAATAGTTTAAAGCTGAGTTCTCCTAGCTTCTCCTGTCCACTTCCCCTCCTCTCCCCTTGCCGGCCATCCTGAATGCTGTGGAGCTGACGTCTCTGTGCTCTGTTTTCAGGGGGCCCTGGCCCAGCCCCAGCCCTGGTGGAAGAGCCAGCTGTTCATACGGGAGCCAGTGCTGTTCGGGACCTGGGATGGTGTGTTCACGTCCTGCATGATCAACATTTTTGGGGTTGTCCTTTTCTTGAGGACTGGCTGGCTGGTGGTGAGTGATGAGCTGGTGGCGCTGGAGCCTCGTGTGGGCCTGTGACATGGAAAGCTCTGTCACTCTCGGGCATTCCACAGTACAGGCAACAGATTCCTGAAGCACCAATGCTCCAAAAACATGAAACAAGACCAAGTACGTTGAATAGCTGGCACTGCTTTTTAAATGAGAATCCTGAGAACCTGGGCCTCAGACAGAGGTTCCAATGGAAGCCTCTCCATGGATTTAACCACAGAAATATGAGCACAGAAGTCAGGGCACATCATGGGTGGGACTAGAGGTAGGTCAGAGAGAGCTGACCGATGGCCAGTTTGCCTCCAGTTTGAGACCTTCTCCAGCTTTCCTGGTATTCTTCAGCTCGTCTAGTGCCTTCCTGGTGGCACCAGCACCTCGACCACATGGTTGCCTTCCCCCCACACCCAGATCCTGTGTGTAAGGCTGAGCCCTGGGGTGTTTGGTCAGAGGTGCAGACTGCCTACCACTCAGGGCGATGACCTGGGGCAGACACTCCCGCATGGGATCGTAGGGGTCAGTTCATCTTCCTTCGCAGAGGGACAAGGGCCTCTTCTTTGTGTCTTAGGTGAAAGTTTCCTGAGACCTTCCAAACAGATGTGTGTCCTGAGCACGGTTCTCGCCCTCCACACAGAGCTTTCAGTGAACTAGATAGGCTGTTGAGGGAGAGGGAGAAGTAGGGGGAGAGGGAAAGTGTACTGGAAAAGCCTACAGTTTTCCTCCTGTGTCTTTCTCCTTTACTTTTGCACAGAACACTTCACTTCTGACACTTCTGGTCACCAGATGTGTGTTTTTATTCCCCCCACACACCAAGCAATTCTGTGACACCAGCTCGGTGTCCTATAATTTAACTCAATTGTGACACTGTCTACCTGAAGATAGCATTAGATCCCACAAGTTAAGGTCTCATTCCCACAAGACTGTCCCCACCTCACTTCAGATGCCAATCGCAAGTCCACATTGTCACCTGATTTTCTGCCTGATTGGCTATAAATCAGAGGTTCCCATGACCTTCTCCTCAAGTTCGATTAACTTGCTAGAGCGGCTCACAGAACTCAGGGAAATGCTGATGTTTACCGGTTTATTAAAGGATATGATAAAGGGGATGGATGAACAGCCAGATGAAGAGATACACCAGGCACAGGAGTTCCTGTCCCTGTGGAGTTGGGGTGTGTCAGCCTCCCAGTACGTAGATGTGTTCACCCACCTGGAAGCTCTCTAAACCCTATACTTTTGGGATTTTATGGAGGTTTCCTCATGTAGGCATGATCAATTATTAACTCTATTTCTAGCCCCTCTCCCCTCTTTAGAGAAGTGATGGGGGTGGTTGTTGAAAATTCCAAGCTTCTAATCATGGCTTGGTCTTTCTGGTGACCTGCCCCCATCCAGGAGCCATCCAGAGTCACCTCAATAGAATAAAAGATGTTCCTAGTGCTCTTATCACTTAGGGAATTACAAGGGTTTTAGGAGCTCTGTGCCAGGAACTAGAGGCAGAGACCAATATATATATTTTCTATTATCTCACAGAGGAGGGGAGAGAGAGAGGTGTGTGTGTATTTATTTTAAGGAATTGGCTCACATGATTATGGGGGCTGGCAAGTCCAAAATCTATAGGACAGCGAGATGCTGGGAAGAATTGATGGTGCACTTTTGAGTCCAAAGTCTGGAAACGCAGGCAGAATTTCTAAGTTGCAGTCTGGAGACCAAATTCCTTCTTCTTTGGGAAGCCCGTCTTGGCTCTTAAGGCCTTCAACTGATTGGAAGAGGCCCACCACATTAGGGAGGTTAATCCTCTTTTCTTAAAGTCAACTGATTGTAAACGTTAATCACATCTACAAACTTACAGCAACTTCTAGACTAGTGTTTGACTAAACTACTGGTCACCGTAGTCTAGCCAAGTTGACACATAAAATTAACCATCACCTATGCAAATTCCAGAGGATTAAAGCTTCACTGTGGTGGGGTTTATGGGGTTCTTAGCTGCTCAGGAGACCTGGGTGGGGCCAGACCTTCCTAAGCTCTTGCTCTACCCCATACCCAGGCCCTTAGCTCAGGGTTCAGCCTTAGCCGCAGCCAGGGTGAATCTGATATTTTTCTTTATTAATGTGTGGAAAGCTTAGAGCAGAGTTAGCAACCTCTCTGGTATGGATGCTAAGAATTCTCCCTCTCACACTCCTCCCAAACTTGCAGGAGCTCCCATTTACAAAAACACAGAGCCTCCAGCTCAGACTCCTCATCCTGGCACGTAGTCTCAAGCTTCAGGGATCAACCTCTGATTTTCCCCTTCCTGGGAGCCACCTCACTGCCCAGCACTTCTCCAGCCTGTGTCCAAGGGAGGCCCATCAACCTGACTGCTGTGGCAGAGAAAGGCCTGGCCAGTGACAGCCTGGGCCCCTGGGCTCTGCTTCATGCAGGGGATGGTTATGGGATGGTGGAAGGAGAAAAGTGTAGGCTCTCTCTGTTTTGATATCTTAAGTCTTTAGGGGCATCCTCTTAACCCTCCCGCTGGATGATCTTCTTGAGAAATGGCTATCCAGAAATGTCAATTCCATCCCCAAAGTGAGGGGACAAGTTGTATTAGTTATCTATTGCTGCATAACAAATTACCCCAACATTTAGCAGCTTAAAGCAACAAGTATGTATTATCTTGTAGTTACTGTGGTTCAGGGCTCCAGGTGCGACTTACCTGGTGCCTCTGGCTCAAGGTCTCTCATGGGGTTGCAGTCAAGCTGTCAGTGGGGGCTGCAGTCTCATCTGAAGGCTCTACTGGGAGGGGAGCTGTTACCAGATCACTTGTGTAGTTGTTGTCAGGCCTTGTCGTGTGGCCTCTTCACAGGGTTGCCTCATTATGTGCAGCTGGCTTCCCCCAGGGCCAGTGCCCAAGAGGAAGCCAGTCTTTCTAGATCCTCATCTCAGAAGTGACATCCCACCACTTCTGCAGTATTCTGCTCATTAAAAATGAGTTACTTGGTCCAGACCCCACTCAAGGGGAGGAAATTACACAAGGGCATGAATGCCAGGAAGTGGGGATCCCTGAGTCCCTCTTTGAGACTACCTACCACACAAAGACATCCTTTTGCCCTGAAAGGATCTCTGTTTTTCAGTTCTGACGTTAGTTTTACCTGAAAAGTCATATTTGATCATGGAAAAAAAGGTGAATGTGACACGCCAAAAATAAGATAGAGCTTCTAGGAGATGGCATAAAATGAAAATAAGTAGCCGTCAAGCCAGAATCATTTTTAAATAGAAAACATTAACTCTAAAGAATAATATGGCAGCATACTTACAATTTGGAAAATGTTAAAGTGGCAGTTTTGGTATGAAAAGTTAAAGATTGGTACAGGATATTTTATTATCACATGCAGAGAGTTTAACGGCAAGAAAAAAGGAAGAAAATAGTAATTATATAATTTCATTAAAAATATAAAATCAGCAAAATAAGTAACTGTCCAAATAAAACATAATCCTTCTCTCTTGGAGCTCACAGCCCAGGAGTAAAGAGGGGCTTGGAAACAGACCCAGTGTGATAAGTACTGTGATAAGGACTAAGCCCTGGGTACTGTAGGAGCCCAGAGGAAGGGTCGCAGGGACAGCTTCCTGGAGAAGGAAACTCCTGAACTGTCTTAAAGGATGCTTTGGAGTGAACCTGGCCAGGATGTGGAATGAGCAGGAAAGACATCCCCAGGCAGAGGTCAGCCTTGGTGAGGGGCTGGGGGGAAAACTTGTGCCTTCACACTGGGGCACAGAGCACAGGTATTGGGGGCTTGTTGGCCAAGGGATCAGAGGGACTGGGGAGGTAGAGAGGGGTCAGATTAGGAGGGGCCTCGTCCGTGTATTAGGTAGCTTTGACTTTGCCCTATGGGCGATGGGAAGTCACTGAAGAGTTTGGAGCAAGGACATTTCCCTTCATCTGGGCCTTACTCTTGTGGTGCTGCCTCTGTCCTTTTCCAGTCGCCGCACCTCTGTGGCCCAGCTCTTCTCCCCTGGATTGCAGCTCCGGGGGTGTGGTAGAGGTGGTCACTGCTCCCGGGAGGGGCCGCATCTGGCGGGGGCTCCTAATCCTAACCCCTGACCTTGCTCCTTGCTGTTCCACTGCAGGGCAACACAGGAGTGCTCATGGGCATGTTTCTGGTGTCCTTCGTCATCCTGGTGGCCCTCGTCACTGTGCTGTCTGGCATCGGGGTCGGGGAGCATTGTGGCGTTGGCAGCGGCGGCGTCTACTCCATGATCTCCTCGGTCCTCGGAGGGCAGACCGGAGGCACGATTGGGCTGCTGTATGTGTTCGGACAGGTGAGCCCGGGCTGCCGGGGCAGGGGACCTGTGCCCTGAGGCCACCTTGTGCAGGATCTCTTTCCCTGCCGTGCTCTTTGCCATCATCTTCTCATCCTCATCCTCATTTGCCCTGGTGAGAGGCAAGGTGGGGGAATTGCCCCCATTTTATAGATGGGCAGACCAGGGCTCTGAGAGAGACTCACAGGCAGAGCCTCACCCGGGTCCAGGGCTCTGCCCCTCAGTCCAGCACTCCTTCCACTTCCCACTCGTGCCTCACGGGGTGCTGATGGGACCTGGGAGGCAGGGCCTGGGCTGGAACTATTCTTGCTGCCCGCTCTAGGGAGGGGAGTGCCCGACAGTGGCCGGAGCCCAGGTGGCAGCTGCGTGGCTCCATCCCTGGGGCACTTTCGTGCTGAAGAGGGGACATTTGGCTTATGTCAAAGGACTTTCCTAGAAGCAGGCACTTCTCAGATGAGCTGGTGCTCTAGGTGCGTTGATGGCTTGATGGCCTTAACCAGACGCTGACAGGCCTGTGTGGACGTGCAGTCTGAGCAGGAGAATACTAATGAGGAGACTCAGAAAACCAGCGAGCAGGAAGAAATGCCGAGGCTTATTTAGCTAAAACACAGGGACGGTGACCTAACGCTGAGGAAACAAAGTGCAGACGTTAAGAAGCAGCTCTTTGTAAGCACTTCTTGGCTTGAAAAAGTCTTTTATGATGGTGCAAAGGGTGGTGGGTGTTTGAAAAAACAGTTTAAAGAAAAAAATTTGTCTAAATAAGAGTACCAGAGTCTCGTCAAAGAAAGCACTGGTTTTGTTTCTTTTATTTTTAAGCAGCAGGGGCAGGGTATTTTAGCAAAAATACATCTGATTCTCCAACAGCACAAAGCTGTGTGCGCGCACGTGCGCGTGTGTGTGGAGGGCAGATGCATGGAAGGCAGACATTGTCACTGGGCTCTTAAAAACCGCTTACCTTTATCAGAGAAAGATCTTTAAGCAGAGTAGTTTGGGAGGCGAATAATAAACAGTCAGTTTACTTCATTACTCTGGGGATTTGTATTGATTTTTTTTCTTCTCTGCTATTTTATAGCTAAGGAGGCTGCAAGATGGGCAAACAGCAGCCCTCATGTTTCCCACGCCTTGGGTAGACAACAGGCTTGCCTCTTGAAGCAGACACCACAGAAGGGGCACCCGTGCTGACCGGGTGGGAAGGGTCCTCGATAGAGAGGGAGCCGGGATGTTGGGAGTCTCCTGTAAGTCGGCTGACTTGCAAGGAACGATGGTCACAGAGATGTTTTCTGTGAGCTGGTGGCCACCGCTGAAGAAACCATTGCATCAACATCCCTTGCTTTGCCTTCTTTCCACCTGGGCCTTGGTCAGAAACATCGGCGCCCCTCTGGTCATGTCTTCGGCGTGCCTCTGTTTTGTCTGCAGCTGACCTGGGCTCTGCTCTCTGATCAGGGTGTGGTTGCTGCGCAATCCTTTTTATATGCTGCTGAACTCAGTTTGCTGGTATTTTGTTGAAGATTTTTCTGTGTGTATTCACGAGGGATTGATCTATAGTTTTCTTGTGATATCTTTGTCTAGTTTTGGTATCATGATAATGCTGGCCTCCTAGAATGAGTTGGGAAGTGTTCCCCCCTCTTCCATTTTTTGGAAGAGTTTGTGAAGGATTGGTGTTAATTCTTTAAATGTGTGGTAGAATTTAGTGGTGAAGCCATCTGGTCCTGGGCTTTTCTTTGTAGGAAATGTTTTGATTACTAATTCAATCTCTTTACTTATATAGCCGTATTCCGATTTTCTTTTTCTTCTTCAGTCAGTTTTGGTAGTTTGTGTCTTTCTAGGAATTTGTTCATTTCATCTAGATTATCTAATTTATTGGTGTATAATTGTTCATAGATTCCCTTATAATCCTTTTTGTTTTTGTAAGATTGGTAGTAATGTCCTCCCTGTCATTCCTGATTTTAATAATTTGAGTCTTCTCTCTTTTTTTCTTTTTTTTTTTTTTTTGGTGAGGAAGATCGGCTCTGAGCTAACGTCTGTTGCCAATCCTCTTCTTTTTGCTTGAGGAATATTGGCCCTGAGCTAACACTCGTGCCCATCTTCCTCTATTTTGTATGTGGGACGCTGCCACACATGGCCTGATGAGCAGTGCGTAGGTCCACACCCAGGATTTGAACCAGCGAACCCTGTACCGCTAAAGCGGAGCGCTTGAACTTAACCACTACGCCTCTGGGCCAGCCCCCCACTTCTCTCTTTTTTTCTTGACCAATCTAGTTAAAGATTTGTCCCCAAAGAACCAATTTTTGGTTTTGTTGATTTTCTCTATTGTTTTTCTGGCTTTTCTTTCTTCCTTCCTTCCTTCCTTCCTTCCTTCCTTCCTTCCTCCCTCCCTCCCTCCCTCCCTCCCTCCCTTCCTTCCTTCCTTCTATTTAGGCTTAGTTTGCTTATCTTTTTCTAGTTTCTTAAGGTAGATAGTTAGGTCATCTTTCTTCGTCCAGGATGTGATTGGGCTTTCTGAGGGTCCCTATTCCTGGTTTTTGTTAACCCCTAACCTTATCTTTCCAGGGCATGTATGCACTCATTTATTTTTAATGATTGCCAGAGCAGATTGTCTGGTTTGCTCTAGAGCAGGGGTCAGCAAACTTCTTCTGTAAAGAGCCAGATAGTAACTATTTTAGTTTTTGCAAGTCATACATCTGTCACAACTGCTCAGTTCTGCTACTGCAGTGCAAAAGCAGCCATAGACAATAGAAGAAACGGGCACAGCTGTGTTCCAATAAAACTTTATTCCCAATACAGACAGCTAACAGGATTTGGCCAATGGGCCCAAGTTTGCCAACCCTTGCCCTAGAGCATCAAAATTCAGAAGGTATAAACACTTAAAATAATATTTTCAAAGCTTGTGAAATCTTCTCATTGCCCCGCATCCTCCACACCCTTCCCCACTCATCTCTCTGAGGTGTTGGTGGCAGACCTGCTGTGCGGGGCCAGAACCATTGGCTGGTGGAGTTGATGATGGACTGAGGCCCCTCCTCACTCCTTACCGCACTCACCGTTGTGGACCTGAGGGCTTCTTTAGGGCTGCTCAGGCTGGACACCAAAATATCCAGCTTCAGCCTGCAATATTATGTCTAAAAGCATTTATTAATGGCTTACGTGCTCTATACTGGGCTCTATGCAAAAACAATGGAGAACTGGACAACTGTTATAGACCTGATATAGGCCTGGGGTTTTTGTTATGGGAGTTAACACATAGGCAGGACATACAGTCAACCAACTTAAACCAGGGATTTCGTGTTAGGAGGAGTGTGTAGGGGCAGCTCTGCTTTTCTAGGTACCCAGAGATGAAAAGAAAAATGCCTATGATTGTGAAAGTGCAATTTTTCTGAAACAAATACCTTAAAATGGAGGTGTTACACCCTGAAAATAGGTCACCTTCTCTCTTTCAAATGGTGGGTGACACCCCCTGCTTCCTGTGGCAGGGGATTAGAAGTTTCTCTGTAGACAATGAAAAAGGAAAAGGAATGCCTGTGATTATAAACTTTAAGAGGAGATAAAAACACTGTTAAAATATAATAAACTCTAGAGATATTTATACATTAAAAAAATTGGCAGAAGGCCGGCCCCGTGGCTTAGCGGTTGGGTGCGTGCGCTCCGCTACTGGCGGCCCGGGTTCGGATCCCGGGCGCGCACCGACACACTGCTTCTCCCGCCGTGCTGAGGCCGCGTCCCACATACAGCAACTAGAAGGATGTGCAGCTATGACCTACAACTGTCTACTGGGGCTTTGGGGGAAAAATAAATAAACAAAATAAAAATTAAAAAAAAAAAAATTGGCAGGGATGTTTTCCACCAAAGAGTAGTCTTCATGGTTGGGAGATAGACCACTCTGGGGTGGTTGGGTTGCTCTAGGGAAGGGCTAGCAGTCACTGGTGTCACACGCTTGCTGAGGGGAGGCTGGAGCTCAGGCCAGTCCCGAGTTCGCCAGCAGTGAGCCGGGTTTGGGGGAGGCCTTGAGTCCTAGACGCACTGGGTTACCTGTACCCAAATGTAGTTTTTGCATAAACAGAATAGTACTCTTTTTTGTGTGTGTGAGGAAGATCATCCCTGAGCTAACATCCATGCCAATCCTCCTCTTTTTGCTGAGGAGGACCAGCCCTGAGCTAACATCTATTGCCAATCCTCCTCCTTTTTTCCCCCCTTTTTCTCCCCAAAGCCCCAGTAGATGGTTGTATGTCATAGTTGCACTTCCTTCTAGTTGCTGTATGTGGGATGCTGCCTCAGCATGGCCAGACAAGCAGTGCTTTGGTACGCGCCCAGCATCCAAACCTGGGCTGCCAGTAGCGGAGCACGCGCACTCAACCGCTAAACCATGGGGCCGGCCCCAGAATAGTACTCTAAATGTGTTTTTTTTGTTGTTTTTCCTTTATAAAATTATTTTAAAATTACAAAATGATACTCATTGTAACCAGTTAACACATCAGAGATAACGTAAAGAAAAAGTGGGTTTCCCTCCTAAAAGTGTTCTGCACCCAACTCCAATGTGTGGGGAGGGTTTTTCCCCCACACCAACAAGCAATTCTCCAACACAAGGTGGGTGTCCTACCATTTGATTAGATTCTGACACAATCTACCTGGAGATAGCGTCAGATCCCGTAGATTGAAGGCTCAGTCCCACAAGACAGCCCTCTCATTCAGATACCAATTGCAAGTCCAGATTGTCACCTGTACTTCTGACAGACTGGCTATAAATCAGAGGTTCACACGACCTCTTCCTTGGGTTCTATTAATTTACTAGAGCAGCTCACAGAACTCAGGAAACCAGTTTACTCACAAGATTATCAGTTTATTAGAAAGGATATTAAAGGATACGAATCAACAGTCAGACAAAGAGATGCATAGGATGTGTTCTCCGACAAAGGAGCTTCTGTCCTCTTGGAATTTGGGGTCCTGGCACAGTGGCACGTGGAAGCTCTCCTTTTGGGTTTTTCTTTATTACAAAGGCATGGTTGATTACACCATCAGCCATTGGTGGTTGACTCAACCTCCAGCCCCTCTCCCCTCCCAGGAAATCACAGGATGGGACTGAAAGTTCCAACCCTCTACTCATGGTTGGTTCTCCTGGCAACCAGCCTCCATCCTTAGGGGCTTTCAAAAGTCGCTTCATGAACATAAACCCAGCTGTGGTGGAAGGGGGCTTGTTAGGAATCAGAAGACACCCATTTCTCCTTTATGGCTCTTAAAGCTATTTTAGGATATTAATTAAACAAAATTTTAGGATATTATTATATTAATATTAATATTAATATTTTAGGATAATATTAAACAAAAGATGCTCCCATTGCTCTAGCGACTCAGAAAATTCCGTGGGTTTTGGTAGCCAGGAACCACGGACGAAGACCAAATATATGAGAAATATGTTTTGGTCATCTGAATGATCAAACATATATTTGTTATAAATCACATTATCGCACCTGCATACTCCTGAAGTAACCAGTGTGGATGCCTAGTGTTCTCTTCTGGCGCCTTTCCCTATGCTCCTCTACATGCATTTATGGATTTTTTGAAATGCTTGCTTGTTTTTACAAAAATGGGGGCAAATTTCATACTCTATCCCGTGACTTGTATTTCTCACTTAACAAGAAGTCGTAGACATTCTGCTGGGTCAGGGTTTTAAACCCATGCTTTTTAAGTAGTTACTTAATATTACATGATATGAATGTGCCATAATTTATGGCACATTCATATTCTCTATTCATTCTTTTACTCTCTTTTGTACTAGTAGTTTTATTCCTTTTCTCACTCTTAATAGTCTATATTTTTTGATTTTCTCTTTTCTTCTTAATCAGGCTGCCAAATACTTATGTATTTTGTTAATCTTTTAAAAGATCAGCTTTTGTTCTCTGTATCCTCCCCTTTGTTATTTTTTTCTTCTGTTTCATTAATTTCATATTTCCTTTAATCAAATACCTCTTCCTACTGTCATTTAATTTATATTGATCTTTTTATCACTTCTTAAGTTAAATACTTTGTTAATTTATTTTTCTGCCTTTTTAAACTTATAAATACATCTAGAGTTATTCTTTTTTTTCCTTCTGAATACAGGATTAGTGTTCCTCTCAACGTCTGGATAAAATATTCTCATTTTCATTACTTTCTAGATAATATGAAATTAAAAAACTTTCTCCTTATTTGGCCAACATGGCTCAAATTTGTTTCTATTATATTTTTCCCCCTTGTTGATTTGCAAGTTCTACTATGCTTTTAGTTCTGCAAGTAGTTATAGTCCACCCTTAGAAGCCATAATTATACTTTTTCTATATTTCCCAACCAAGAAACATTACTTACTAGCTCCTCCACCTACCAAATATGAAATCTCGAGGATACTTTTACTTTCCCATTGTCCATAAACACCCTCACCTCTTACCCCCAAACCCTTACATTTTGAGAAGATAGTTTAATTTGGTCTGTTATTAAAGTAAGTCTCTTCAGTTTCAAGAATCCGTACTTACAACTTATATTGCAAATGGCCAGTGACATTACCATCATCTATTTAGCATTAACAAAGTATTTTATGAAATTTTGGCTAACTTTTGTTTCCTCTTCTTTAGTAGCTAATAATAGTAAAGCAATAATGAAATACCAATAGCGATTATTTCTGTAACTCAAACTGTGAGCCAGATATTGTTCTAGGACTTTACATAAATTATCTCATTTAATCCTCACAATAACCTTTTGAGGTAAGGTTATTATCTGTGTTTCACAGATGAGGAAATGAAGCACAGAGAAGTTAAAACACTTTCCCATGTCACACAGCTAGGACTGGGAGCTGCAGGATTTGGCCTTAGATAGTCTGGTTTCACAGTCTGTGCTCCTAACCACCACGCTCTTTCACGTGTCCTGAAGAGCTTTTTCTTTTCTGTTGCTGGCGTCTTTGGGCTAAAAAGTGATTTTAGGCACAAACATGAGAGAGGGGCTCTACTGGAGTTACTGGGAACAAAAGGCAGCATCTACTCCTTGGCCCACTTCATCTGAGCAAATTCTGTTCTCCAGCTAGAAAGAGAAACAGTTCTTTTGGAAGCTCCAGATGCAAATGGTCACATTGAAGTTCTGGCATCACCCTCTGTGTGTTAGAGACACGGGATACCTGGGAAGGTGACGCCCACACAAATAATAATCATGACTACATTTATCATTGTTTTTTAAACTCTGATATATCTGACCCTGAAGAGTCCTGTTGACCTGGCCAAATACTGATGAAATAGCATAATTATCACCATCACACTCTTGGTATTTAGTCAAGAGTAAGTTGGAGTTCTGAGGTGAAGGCAGGAAAACATAGATTTATTTCGGGCTCTCTCTCTCTCTCTCTTTCTCTCTATGTCTCTGTCTCTCTCTGTCTCTATCTCATCTCCCTCTAAGAGAGGACTGTATTTCCCTCACATTTATTGGGCTTCCCCCTTTACCCAAATATAGACAGAAATGCCTAGTGTGAATTTGGGGAACAATGATGTTATATCTAGCTGCAAAGTGAGCCAATCCCAGTTAAGAATGGGGCCTTCTTCGTGAGCTCCCCTCAGATGCAGAAATTGTGTCACCCTTCTGGTCTTTACATAAAAGGGCTGGAACTTAATGGTGCCTGCTTCCCAGGGCACTTTTCATACCATCAACATATCACAAAGTGTTTATTGAGTGCTTGCAACATGCTTAACAAATGCAGGGGATTGTAAGAGGTGCAATCAGCAGAAAAAGTTTGTGTTTTAGAATTTTGACATTCTTGGTCGTGGTGAGGGAGACAATAACATGCATTAAATAATGGAATGTGGCACCAGGTAATTAGTTGCATGGCACTGGCAGTAAGCATGCTATTTATTCAGAAAAGAGGGATGAGGAAAGGCTTCATGGAAAAGGAGGAACTTGACGGAGGCCTGAGTAGAATTTGTGCCCTGGGAGAACAGCAGGGCAGAGCGACAGTGATGAGAGTGATCCTCTGGCCTGGGGGATGGTGAAGGAGTGAACCTGATGAGAGGACGGGGCTGAGGAATTATGGAAAGTGAGGTCTGTGTTATTTTCAAATATTTATTTGAAATTGCATTTCAAGTATTTTTAAAAAGGTAATATCGTGCCTCTCAGGCAAATAAAACATAAACATGTGCCAAAGATTTTATTGAACTCATTTTATTTAACTTACTGGAGGAGCCAGTAAGATGTTGAAGAGCATTTGAGAAGCTAGGTATGGATACTGGATAGATACAGATCAAATCCATAAATTCATAGTTAGGCAATTTAATAAATAGACGTAAGGATAAGATTGCTGGGTTAGATACAAAACTGGGTAAGGTCTTACAGGACAACAAACCCAAATCTTTTGGATTGTCTGTTCTACTGGACGGAAGTTATTTGCATCTCTGCTGGAAAAAAATCTATACGTTAACGTGTAACTTCACTAAGTCTGGGACATTTAATACATTTAATCAATAGTAAATGGTGAGTAGAACTAAGCACATTCACCTGGATGGTCCTTGGGTAGCCTTTGTTCTATATGACCTGGAAAGGATATGCTGCACACGTTTTTTTTTCTAATTTCCAAGTTCTAGATAAAATACCGACCTACAAGAAATGGAGGAAAAACTGGGGTTTGCTTCAGTGCCCTTCTATGGCTCCGACATGGGAGGCCCTGTGTGTTTTTGTTCTCTATTAAGTTCTTGAATAACTCAGACAGAGAAGTCCAAAGGTGTCTTTGGCCCAAAGTCCCATCTTCTTCCTCCCCAAATCTTTTCATCTTAGTTCCCACTGACAAGCAGCTGGCTCTGGGGTTGGGCTTGGCATTCATTCCCTGCTCTGGATGAAGGTAGAGATATAGACTGGAAGAAATGGGGCCCGAGGCAAGGTTCCCAGGCCAGAAAGGCCCATTTAACCCCCGTGCTGGTTCCCAGGTGCCGAGCCCTGGCAGGGCTGAGCTGGGTCCTCAGGGCCTGCCACGCTGGCCTGTGGGCTCCTGGTGCTTTTTTCTCTTGCTGGCTCTTCCTACCCCGAATGGCCTCTCAGTGTGTTGCAGGCGCCATGTACATCACCGGCTTTGCTGAATCCATCTCAGATTTGCTGAGCCTCAGGAATATCTGGGCTGTGCGAGGAATTTCCGTTGTGGTGCTTCTGGCCTTGCTGGGGATTAACCTGGCAGGTGTCATGTGGATAATCCGCCTCCAGCTGCTGCTGCTGTTCCTGCTGGCCGTGTCCACACTGGACTTCGTGGTGGGCTCCTTCACGCACCTGGACCCGGGTAAGCCTTTTGGACTTCAGTAGATGGCCTTATTCGGGTCTGCCCTGCTTTCTAGACGTTTATAGGTGTGAGTTGGCAAGACTACCCCCAATAGGCTTTACCTGTAATTAATGTGGGCTATCCTGGAGAGGTGAGTGGGTGGGTCTTGGTGCAGCTTCAGCGGCTGAAAGCCACTCTTCGTATAGACATTTCCACTTAGCACATTTTCCATGTTTCTTTTTGTTTTCTTTCTATTAAAAGAAACCCAGAACATTTAGATCAAACAAAGAATAAGGTAGAACTGGATAGATAAAGATCAAATTCATAACAGTGATTAGGGGAGTGGCAAGAAATAGATTTGGGAGTAGGGAGGAAAATAGATTTTATCAGTCATATTTTTCCTTTTTTTTTAAAGGACTTGATGCAAATATAACAAATGTTAACAATTATCATTTCTGGGAGATGAGGACTGATATAGGTTTGATTATCTATAGTTTTCTATATTAAATTTTTTTCAAAATAAAAATATGAAACCATTAACGCAGCTTAAAGAAAGAAAATAAACAGCCAGGTTTGCACGATTTGGAAATGGTATCCTGTATTTGTAATCAGTCCATCACTGTTTAATCTTGGGTTTTCCTCAGCCTTGGGGATGCTTGGCAGCTCCAATCCTAAATCCTTATGCTCTGAGTGAGAAGCTGTCACCCGGAGTGTTCATAACTTCGTAGCTTTGTGATTTGGGTTGGTTTGGCATCAAAAGTCATTGTTTCTCTTCAGAGTACAGAGCTATTCCTAGGGTGCTGTAGAAAAACGTAACTGCCTGATATTTCACACTCCAGGGACTCTATCTTTATATGGCAATAGTGACCAGGCATCTACATGGGAACATGGACAGGGAAAGGAAGATGGGGCCACCAGCTGTGTTAAAAAAGAACAAAAAAGAAAAAGAAAAAAAGATCTGCAGCAGAGACACTCGCCTCTAACGGTGGTGGTGGTGGTGGTGATGGCCACTGCACTGGACCGAGCACTTGCTGAGGCCAGGCATTTTGCTCAGCACCTCACATGGCTCACATTGTGTCATCCTTATTGTAACCTCAGGAGGGAAGAACAGTTATACCCATTTGATAGATGAAGAATCTGGGGCTCAGAGATTACATAATTCATGGTAATACATGGCAGAGCTGGGAATGAGACTAGATTTATTTGACTCTGAAGTTGAGCTGTTCCCTGAGGTGGGAAGCTGGGCAGGTCTTCACATGACTGGCAGTCTTTTTGTGATAGCAGCTCTGCTTTTCCCTTTCAAGGCTGCCCCTGATGTGTGTTCCATACAGGCTTGTCTTTCATAAAAATGTTGGTTGAAGGAAGGTCAGAATTCTATTGGTACACACTGATCTGGCCTTATCACTTCTTCATATATTGAAATTCTTCTGTTGGAAAATAGTCACTCCCCTGAGCTCCCTGAGTGCCCCCTACCCTCTGGCATCCTGGCCCCTCCCCCAGAACCTCCAGACTGCCCCATGATCCAGCATCTAAAGGGTTAACCCCTGTACAGAAGGGGCTCCAGGATCTGCGCTGATGCTAAGGGCCACTGTGGTGTCCAAATAGATCACTTGAAGCCTGGGCTTTGCAGCCTGTTAAATATTTGGAGCATCTCTGTTGGAGGGAAGGGGTGGTTATTTTCCTGGCCTTGTCCCACCCTGCAGAGACAGCCCACATCCTGAGGGAGACCTGCTGGCAGTTTGCCCATCAAACTGTCAGTGAGGGAGAAAGAGAGTCTACCCCATCTCCGATTCCTGGTGCTCTCCCCCTCTGTCTATATGGCTGCTGAAAGGGCATAATGAGTTAAATTGCAGGGCGATGCTGCTGCCCTCTGTGAAACCTAGCTAGGCTGATGTATTTTCCTTCTTGATTGGAACTTTTCTTGGCTGCTCTTCTAAGTTACTCCAAATATTTCTCTTTCCTTCTGGTCAGTACATTAGCAGGGTGTAGTGTGAAATGAAATTTATTTTCAATCATTCCCATAGCAACTAGCCCCTCCAGAATCTGTTTTTGGTATCAGTGATGTTTTATATGGGCTATTTTCTTTGAGGTTAAAAATCTAAACTAAAACTAGACCATAAACCTTCAGAATGGATTTAGTGGAATGACTTCAACTCTTTAAAAAAATGACATATACATAGATATTTGAAAAAAGACTGGAAGGAACTATGCAAAGTGTTAACAGGAATTGTGTTTCTGCTGAGATTATGGGTGGCTGTATTATTTCATTTCTATTTTTCCTTCAATTGTTCTGTTGCTTTTTTATTTTAATTAGTAGAATTTAGTTTTTAGAGCAGTTTTAGGTTTATAGAAAATTAAGCAGAGAGTACAGAGGTTCCTATATCCTTCCTCTCTCCTTTCCCCACCACTGTTTTCCCTATTATGAACATCTTGCATTAATGTGGTACATTTCTTACAACTGATAAACCGATTGTGACACATTATTATTAACTAAAGTCCATAGTTTAGATTAGGATTCACCCTTTGTGTTGTACATTCTATAGGTTTTGACAAATATATAATGACATTTATCCACCATTGTGGTATCATACAGAATAGTTTCAATACCTTAAAAATCCCTGTGCTCCACCTGTTCATCCCCCCTCCCTCCCCCACACTTGACTTCCTGGTAACCACTGATCTTTTACTGTCTCTATAGTTTTGCCTTTTCCAGAATATCATAGAGTTAGAATCATACAGTATGTACTCTTTTCAGACTGGCTTCTTTCACTTAGTAACATGCATTTAAGGTTTCTCCATGTCTTTTCATGGCTTGATAGCTCATGTCTTTTTATCCCTGAATAACATTCCATAGTATAGATGTGCTCAGTTTTTAATTGGGTTGTTTTCTTATTGTTGAGTCTTAAGAATTCTTTGTATATTTTGGATACAAGCCCTTTATCAGATATATGTTTTGCAAATATTTTCTCCCAGTCTGTGGTTTACCTTTTCATTCTTTTAACAGCATCTTTTGCAGCATGGAAGTTTTTAATTGTAATGAAGTCTAACTTAGCAATTTTTTTTCTTTCATGGGTCATGGTTTTGGTATTGTACCTAAAAACCCATTAGTAAACCAAAGGCTGCCTAGATTTTTCCTGTTATCTTCTAGAAGTTTTATTTAGGCATAGCTCAGAGATATTGTGGGTTTGGTTCTAGACCATTGCAGTAAAGTGAATATCGCAATAAAGCAAGTCACACGAATTTTTTGGTTTGCCAGTGCATATGAAAGTTATGTTTAAACTACACTGTAGTCTAAGTGTGCAATAGCATTGTGTCACAAAAATATACATACCTTAATTAAAAAATACTTTATTGCTAAAAAATGCTGACCATCATCTGAGTCTTCAGCGAGTCATAATCTTTTTGCTGGTGAAGGGTCTGGTAAAAAATTTAACATCTGAGAAGCACAATAAAACAAGGTATGCCTGTAGTTTTGTGATTTACGTTTAGGTCTGTGATCCATTTTGAGTTTATTTTTGTGTAAAATGTAAAGTGAGTGTCTAGATTAATCTTCTTTTTTGCACGTGGATGTCTAGCTCTTCCAGCACCATTTGTTGAAATGACTGTCCTGTCTCCATTGAATTGCCGTTCCTCCTCTGTCAAAGATCAGTTGGCTGTATTTGTGTGGGTCTAATTCTGGGCTCTCTAATCTGTTCCATTGATCTATGTGTCTATTCTTTCTCCAGTACCACACTGTCTTGATTGTGTAGTAGTTGTTGTGATTGTGTAGTAAGTCTTGAAGTTGGGTAGTGTCAGTCCTCCAGCTCTGTCCTTTTCCACTAGCGTCACTCTTTAAATCAGAAAATAAAATTTAAAAAATACTCTTAAGCCTAACTTTCTTTCTTTCCCTTTCTTTCAATATAAAAGACTAAAAAAAATCCAATCCTGAAATGTAGAAAGTAAAAAAAACTCCATTTTCCCACTTCTACTCTCCAGAGGGAGAACAGTACAGGTATTAGTTATTTATTGCTGTTGAACAAATTACCCCAAATTTAGTGGCACAAAACAACAATAAACATTTATTATTTCTTTCCATTTCTGTGGGCCAGGGATTTGGGTGTGGCTTGGCAGGTGGTTCTGGCTCAGGGTTTCTCATGTGGTACAGTCGTATGTCGCCAGGGGCTGCAGTCATCTGAAGGCTTGACCAGGGCTGGAGGATCTGCTTCCAAGGTGAATCACTCACTAGCTGGCAAATTTTTGCTGGTTGTTGGCAGGAGTCCTCAGTTCCTCTCCATGTGGTCCTTTCCTGAGAGCTGCTTAAGTGTCCTCAAGTCATGGGGTGACTGGCCCCAAAAGCAAACAATCAGAGAGAGAGAGATCCTTTAGAAATGAATCACTAAGTCTGGCCCTCATTCAAACAGAGAGGAATTAGTTTCCACCTTTTAAATGGAGAGAGAATTTGCAGACACATTTTAAAACCACAAGTTTTAGTTTTAAAATCTGAAAAAAAATTTTAAATGCACATAAGTAAAACTATATTCTTCTCTTCATTTTAAAGACAAAATAAATGTTTTGTATTGTAAAAATAAAAAAAAAAATCTGAAATATAAAGTGAAAAGTGAAAATTTCTTCCCCTTACTCTATTTTCCCACTCCTACTCCCCAGAGGGAGATTGATAAATATCTTTCCAGTCTATTTTCTATACATGTACAAGCACACATGCACACATGCATGTACATTAACACATACAACATAGTCCTTTGTAAAAATGTAATTAAATTCTACATTGTTTTGCTGCTTTTCCTCTCCCACTCAATAACATATCATAGACATCCTTCAATGTCAGTACATTTAGGATTCCCTCATTCTTTTTTTAATACTTGCACAGTATTCCATATTACAGATCTAAAATACTTTATATTTAAACATTAATTTATTGATGGATATTTAGGTTTTTCCAGTTTGTCAGTATTACAAATACTGCTGACATGAATATCCTTGTACAAAATTTGAAGGATTTCTGTAGGATTTTTCTGTAGGAT